ACTATTTTCTGCTAATGACTCACCAAACAATACATCATTAGCGATGTGCACAGAGTCAAAAGATGAAGGAGTGCAATCGAGCTGTTACTCTTTTCCAATCGCTTATTTTTGTCAATAAATTTCTAAATTTAGCTCCTCTGCAAAACCCGTTCTTTGCCTTTTGGTGTAGTTAGCAAGTTTTAGCTGAATTCGAGCATCACAACAAAATTCAGCACCTTATAAATCAATTTTTTTGGGTATTCCAGATTTTACAGTCAAATTTATGGCGTTTTAAGCACAAAACGAGAACAACTACCTTTTTTAAAGGATGAGGGAGCAGAAGAGGATGGGGAAGAGCGCAGGCGGGGTTACTGGGTATTTGGGAAAAATGTTTCTAATATTCACCGAAGTACTGGTTCGTATTTTGTTATAGAACAATCAAGACTGTGATGTTGTTATTAGAATATGCGACCGGAGCAGATTGTCTAGTTCGAATTTTTTTTTCTTCAGAAACAGCTGACAAATTATTATTTTTATCCATATAAATTAGTTTGTTATTTTACTTATTAGTATCTTTTTAGTTTATGAAATTTTCTATTTTTGGCATTTTCAATGCTTTGTGTTTTCTGTTTTGTAAAAAAGTACAAATATATGCTTTTTTATATAAAAATATAGATGTAAAAATATAAACATAAAAAAATATAAATGAAAATAAAAATAAATATAAAAAAATATAACGAGCAGACCCGTTCTTGAAAAGAATATTGAATTCTTCACCACAACCGAATTCTTCGAGCCGAGACCTATTAACCATTGCAGCCCCGACTCCTCTTTTCCATAGGTAGCACTGGGTGCTAGGGAATTTTTTTACATGTGCCCCTCTCTTAGGGAATGCGAATTTTGTCTGATTTTTGACTTAAATTTGCAAATATGCAGCCCATGCATATGCACTCCGCAGTGTCAGATTAACACCACATACAAGTACACAATTTTTCAATTTTTTAAACAATATCCCTGAAAATTATGGTTATTTTTGATGAAATTTTCCGAGAACGCTACTCTTCGCAATATTCGTTTTGTTTGCGACAGCAAGTTTTTGCGAATGGTACCCAGAAAAAAAACCAGTGATGCTTCCTGCTATTTTTTGCCCTGCATGCCAGTTTGGTAAACATATGGATCCCACATTAAAAAACAAATACAGCACCTCTTAATGGACTAGGACTGGCAACAGCCTTCATCCGGAATGTAGCATTTCTAGAATATGATAAGACAGTACCTTATTGATTGGAGAGATCTTCATTTTTTCATCGTTCGTTTCATAAAAATACGAAAGTCGAAATTCATTACAGTGTCGAGGTGTGCTCATGTGAATCACGAACATCATGCAACGCCACCAGTCACGCAGCTCAGCGAATCCGAACTTATGCTTCGTAACTCTGGTAGATTATGCAATCGTCCACATTTACAAATTGTAAAATCACAAATAAAATTTTAATTTTGTCAAAAATTGGTCATATTCTCATGAAACTCATACCTTTCGACTCAAAGGATTGAGGCATTCCAACTTACATTTTCCAGAGCCTCTCAACCTCAGATCTCGCGCAGGCAGAAGAATTCGTGTCCAAATTTTGCTTTAAAATGGCCTACTTTAGCGACTGTTAATTCGGTTAGGAGTTCACTCGCTATCTTTTTTGCATGTAATTCTAACGGCTTGCCAAATGTTTTTTAGCTAGGCAATTTGCAAAGAATGTACTGAAACCAGCTGT